GCTTCTCTTTCCAAGGCTCCTCCCGCTGGACCCCGCTTGGGGCCTTGCCGTCTCCCTTCGAGCTGGGAGTTTGCAGAGGACTGAGAGGTGGCAACGCTTTGCTCTGGCGGGGACTCCAGGAGTGGGCAGGAGGCGCGGAGGAAGCTGTGTCCACAGGCCAGGCCACAGAGGAGAGGCGCGGGGAGGCGGGGACCCCTGCTCCTCCCTTCTCTTCCTGAGTCCGGAGAAGATGGACCCGACAGGGAAAGGGCAGGCAGGGCACGCAGTGTGGAGGGAGCTGCCCCGGGGAGGGAGGATGGCCGGGAAGGTCCTGCAGGCTCAGGACGGGGCCCATCCAAGGGGAGGGCTGGCCAGTGGGCAGGGGAGGGACCCCGAATGTCCCACGAGCCGGGGAAGCCCGTGCGGCCGGATGGGCAGACCTCACGGCGCACCTCCTGAAACTATGTACCCAAAGGTCACGCCATCGCGGCCCCGCAGGAGCGGGGGGAGCAGGGCCCTATTTGAAGGAGCATCTCTGAGCTCAGGAGCTTCCAGAAACGCAGGGGAACCCGCGCTTGGAGGAGGCAGTCTGCCCCCAGGTCTCACCTCTGGGTTGGTCCCCGTCTGACACCGATCCACGAGCTTATGCCGCCCTCTAGTGGCGGCTCATTGAAATGGCCCGTTGATGCTGCTGCGCAGGCCTGGGCGGCGCAGGTTCCCTAAAGGACTGGTCCCCGCCGCCTCGGAATTCCCCCCAACAAAGTCCGTAGAGGCCTAACCTGTTTGCGCCCCAAATCTCCGAAAGGTGAATGGGATGGCGTCCCTAACATCCAGCAGAGCCGCCAGAACTACAGGGAACGGATGGAAGATAAAATGATTCCTTCAGCGACTCGCCAGGAGCACAATTTCCAAACTGCCCGCTAGGGGGCAGCGCTGCTCCCACGGAGGCTCCAGAGCCAGAGAGCAACGTGCCGGCCACGGCCACCCGCTGCCACCGCTGGGCTCTGCCAGGCCACTCACCAGCAGCCTAGAGGGAGTGCCGGCACGGGCACGGCTGTGTGCCAGCAGAGCTGCCCATGAAAGCGGTGCCCGCGGGACGGGGCCCACAGGACGGAGCTGCTGACCCTGGTCTAGAGCATCCCCTGCGGCTCACAGATGAGAAAAGCGGGTGGCCCTGGTGGTTTGTCTCAGTGGTTACGTGGTCAGCCTGTGGGCCGCAGGGTCTCCTTTGGGTGCCCCACTGCACCCAGTCGTTCTGCTCCCACTGTGGTGGGCTGGACGTCTGTCTGCCCAGCTGCTCCGTATCCCTGTGTCTGTCACACCCAGAGCTGTGTTCCCAGCTCCCACCGCGTCTGAAACAGACTGATGCTGGATAAATGCTGGATCACCGCCCGTCTGCTGCCACCCGGGTCCCTTGCCACATGAGCACGTGCCTTTCGCCCTCCCGGCCTGCCCGCCATCGCACACGGGACCCCTGCGGGATGCGCTGGGCCTTCCAGACGCGCTGCCGCCTCCAGTCCAGAAGGACAGCCGGCAGCGTGCCGGGTCTGGTGGACACGGCCAAATGTTCACACGACCAAACACTTCAAGAATCCCGCAAACCCAGTGAACCCCAAATGCCACGTGCCCGGGGGATGCCCCGCGGAGCCCAAAGTCCAGGGCTTGGATGTGTGTGCGCCTGAGACTCTGCTCAGCGCTTTATGTGCACGCACGCTGCCCTGTGTGATCGCCGGCCCGGCCACGTGCCTCCCGGAGACACCAGTGGAATCTGGTCTCCGCCTGCCCTTGCCGCCGGATAGACACGCTCCTGCCACGCCGCGCGCCCTTCACTCACCCGTTAAACGGAGTCAGTTATAAGCCAGTGCGTGCTTCTGCCCCAGATGGGGTGCAAGCTCACCCGGGGAGCATCCAGGGCTGCATGAGAGAAGCAGACACACAGCCCCCTGCCCCCCGGGGCATGACTTACGGGGGGACATTCTGTTAAAGTGGCCGCACGTCCAGATAGCCAGCCGGGCAGAGCGTTCTACGGAGGGTCAAGGCTGAACATTAAAACCTGCCCCTCTTGGCAAGGACTGGAGGCGGGGGCGGGCCCGGCTTTGTGTTTAAGGTAGTTTGTTAAAACGAAACAGAAACAGACTCTTGGACACAGAGAACACATTGAAGATTGTGGGAGGGGGGAGGGGGGAAGGGGCGCGGGAGGATGAGGGGAGGGGGAAGGGGAGAAGGAGGGGCGGGGGAGGAGGAAGGGATGAGGGGCGGGGGAGGGGGAGGAGGAGGGGCTGGGGAGAAGGAGGGGCGGGGGGGAGGGGCGGGGGGAGAAGGAGGGGAGGGGGAGGGGATGAGGGGAGGGGAGGGGATGAGGGGCGGGGGAGGAGGAAGGGATGAGGGGCGGGGGAGGAGGAGGGGCGGGGGAGAAGGAGGGGCGGAGGGGAGGGGCGGGGGAGGGGGAGAAGGAGGGGCGGAGGGGAGGGGCGGGGGAGGGGGAGAAGGAGGGGCGGGGGAGGAGAAAGGGATGAGGGGCGGGGGAGGAGGAGGGGATGAGGGGCGGGGAGGACTCCAGGGACGAAGGTCCAGTTATAAAGTGCGTCACGGGATAGATGCCATAGCACGGGAGTAGGTGCACGGGACAGGTGGGGTGGCTTTGTAGGGTGTGTAAATGCTGAGTCACTGTGCTGTACACCTGACACTAACATAATACTGTCTGTCAGCTGTAATTTAAAAATAGATTAACAACAACTTAAAAGGATTTTAGAAAAGAATTTGTTGTTGGCCAGCCAGTGTGACTCAGGGGCTGAGCATCGACCTATGAACCAGGAGGTCAGGGTTCGATTCCCAGTCAGGGCACAGGCCTGGGTTGTGGCTCGGTCTCCAGTGGGGGGCGTGCAGGAGGCAGCCGATCCGTGATTCCCTCTCATCATGGATGTTTCTCTCCCTCTCCCTTCCTCTCTGACATCAATATAAATATTTTTTGAAAGAACCTGTTTGAAACCCATAGTCATAAATTACAAACTATTTCTACCTAAATTCCTCTTCTTGACTAACCAGTTCAAGTTGTTGGAACCCCCATGGTCTGAACGGGGTCTCGAGTACAAGGTTTGGAAAACAAGGACGCCGTCTGAAACCCTCACCGGTGCTGTCGGTATTTTCCGAGCCCCGGGCGGCGTGAGGACGCGCAGCAGGAAGCGCGTGAGGCCTGGGAACAGCCTCTGCGTGTGCTTCTGCCTCGGCGCTGTCCTGCTCGCGGCCTGACAGTGGCGCAGACTCCCCACAGACCTCACCCACTCCCTCCCCGAGCGCAGCGCTCATAGGCCGGTGGCCTGGGCGCCGTGGGTGACCTGGCCTCACGTTCTGTGTCAGGAGCAGGACATTCCGTGGCCTGGGCACCTCCTGCCTCCTCTGGGGTGTGGAGGGCCCCTGGGGGTGGCTTGGGAGGCCCACCCTCTCCAGCTCGAGCTGTGGCTTTATTTGACACAAACTGGTGCGTTGGCCCGAGCAGCCGCTCCTTTGTTCTGCGTGAACGAGATCCCCTGAGACCCACAGATGCAGGGAAAGGGCCCGAGGCAGGAGGGACATGCCAGGAAGGCCACCCTGGCCGGCGGGACAGGGCTCAAGGCGCAGGGACCTCTGGTCCTTTGGTCCCTGGGCCCCACCCCACCCGTGCCATCAGCCTGACGCAAACACAAGTTTGTGGACCTGAGTCAAGTGTCGGTAAGAAGGCGCCTGCGCCGGGGCCCTGCTCTGCCCTGGCCGCCCTGGGTGCCGGCAGGTGTGGGACTTCCGGGCATACATGGTTGGCGTGTTGCTCATCCCCAAAGCTAAAGCCTTAACGTGACCTGCAGCAGCCGAGGGCGGGCCCTCTCACCTTCACCCTCACAGGGATGGAGGCCGGGAGCTGGGACACACCTGGTCAGGGTCCATGCTCAGGGCCCTGAGGGCGGGGGAGGCTGCTGACCCAGGGGCACCGGCCAGGCGCAAGGCGCTGCTTTAACCCGTCCTCCGCCTCTGGCTGTCAGGAGGCCGGGGACAGCGAGACACTCCCGTCTGCATGGACACCACGGTAACTAAACAGAGAGTTGGCTGATGAGGGTCTATTTTGGCTGAATTTACCACCATCCTTTCAAACTAAAAAATATATTGAGCCGCCCTGGTTGGTGTGGCTCAGTGGATAGAGGGTTGGCCTGGGGACTGCAGGGTCCCAGGTTTGATTCCTGGTCAAGGGCACATGCCTGGGTTGTGGGCTCAATCCCCAATAGGGGGTGTGCAGGAGGCAGCCAATCAGTGATTCTCATCATTGATGTTCCTATCTCTCTCTCCCTCTTCCTTCCTCTCTGCAATTAATAAATATATATATATATATAGGCGGCCCAGTACAGCCCGGCCTGCACCCTCTCCAATCCGGGACCCCTAGGGGAATGTCTGACTACCAGTTTAGGCCTGATCCTGCAGGATGTCCGATCCCCTGTGGGATCAGGTCTAAACTGGCAGTCAGACATCCCTCTCACAATCCAGGACAACTGGCTCCTAACCACTCACCTGCCTACCTGCCTGATTGCCCCTAACCACTCTGCCTGCCTGACACCCCTAACTCTCTCCCCTGCTGGCCTGATCATCCCTAACCGCCTCTGCCTTGGCCCCCGCCACCGTGGCTTTGTCTGGAAGGACGTCCCAGAAGGATGTCCCGGAAAATGTCCGGTCTAATTAGCATCTTACCCTTTTATTAGTATAGACTAGAGGCCCTGGTGCACGACATTCGTGCACTGGTTGGGGCGGGGGGGCAGGCCTCAGCCTGGCCTGCACCCTCTCACAGTCCGGGACCCCACAGGGGACGTCCGCCTGCTGGCTTAGGCCTGCTCCCCACAGAGCCAGCTGTGAGCCTGACTCAGGGCTTCTGGCTGAGTTGGGGAGCACACTGACCACCAGAGGGTAGCTCCTGCATTGAGTGTCTGCGCCCTGCTGGTAAGTGCATGTCATCGTGACCAGTCGTTCTGTTAGGCCGATTTGCATATTAGCCTTTTATTACATAGGATATTTATATTGAGCCTCCTTTAGGCTGTAGGGTAAAGATTCTCTCTTTCCTCTATCTTTTCACTTTCTAATCTCTTCCCTACAAACACCCACCTTGGAACCCCAACACAGGTATCTTATACCTCCCATTGGGTCTGTCATGGCAGGACCCAGGGGCCAGGTCATTTGCCCCCGATCTCCTCCCAGCATGTGGTCTGGAAAGGCGAGTCCGCGTCCCTCTGTCCGTGGAGGTCCTCCTTCGTGAGTGGAATGAAAGCGCCTGGCCGCTCCCGCCCAGAACGCGATCGCAGGTGCGGACTCGCTCTGAGTCCCTCAGAGGAAAGGGGTAACACACCTTTATTACCGCAGACAGCGAGACGGGCCAGACAGCCCACAGCCTCGCGATCATCCCGCCGCTCTGACCACCACGCGGACCGGAGAGCTTCCCCTTCCACCTCCCGCCCTCGTGGAGAGGGGCCATCGCGTGTGAAGAACGGGGTGTCTGAGAGACACGGGCCACGCACAGTGTCAGCTAGGGCGGCCCGCGGCCATGCGGCTGTCCAGGCCGGGGAGCGGCCCGTAGCCCAGACCCAGCGACTGTCCGAGGAGGCGCTCAGAAGAGGATGCCGTCCCGCGGGGCCTGCTCCACCGGCTTCCTCTGCTCCTGCCGGCGCCGGCGCCGCGCCCTCTGGAAGAAAACGACGATGACGGCAGTGATGATGCTGAGGAGGAGGACGAGCAGCAGCAGCCAGAAGGAGCTGCCGTAGCTGTGCGCCGTCCCACGGTGGGTGGCCGGCGAGTAGCGTGAGTAGAGCGCCTGGACCAGCACTTCCGACAGGCGATTGGCTTGCACGTTCCCCACGAACAGCACCAAGGCCAGGAAGGCGAAGGAGCCTGGAGGAGAGGAGGACGGGAAATGAGCCGGCCACAGGCCCGGCACGGCACGGTTTCCTGTCGGGGAGTGTGCTCTGCGGCAGCGCAGCTGGATTCTGGGCATGAAACTCCCAGGTCTGTGCGGGCAGCGTGGGCCGAGGGTAAGCCATGTTTCTGACGTGGTGCCCCGGGCTCGGCTTGGAAGCAGGAGGGGTCGCCCTCGGGGAGGAGAGCCTGCCACTGCCTGTGCCTCTGTGTCCTGGGACAGACGGCTCTGGGCGCTGGCTCCCTGTCCTCCTGCCCTGTCCCGCCGCGCCCTGCGACCTGCCTGCGACCTGCCACCGTGCTCCCTCCTGCTCTTGGGGTCCCTGGTGGAGGAACAAATGTGTTGGAGCAGCCGGTTCTGGCCAGGATGGGGCCATGCCAGGCCGCGTGGTGCAAAGGGCAGGCTGGGGTCAGAGGGCATAGGCCTGCATGGTGCAAAGGGCAGGCTGGGGTCAGAGGGCACAGGCCCTGCATGGTACAAAGGGCAGGCTGGGGTCAGAGGGCACAGACCCTGCGTGGTGCAAAGGGCAGGCTGGGGTCAGAGGGCACTGGCCCTGTGTGGTGGAAAGGGCAGGCTGGGGTCAGAGGGAACAGACCCTGCGTGGTGCAAAGGGCAGGCTGGGGTCAGAGGGCACAGACCCTGCGTGGTGCAAAGGGCAGGCTGGGGTCAGAGGGCACAGGCCCTGCATGGTACAAAGGGCAGGCTGGGGTCAGAGGGCAGGGACAGGCGCTGGGTGGGGTGGGGGGTGGTTCTGCTATATTTGTCCTGGAAGCAGAGTCCTCTCTATTCTTTCACAAACTGTGGGAGAAACCCTATCCTCTTCCTCCCCGTTTGTGCAAACCCAGCCCCTTCCCCCGTTCCCTGCAGGCAGGTGACCGCTGCCCTCGGGCCACAGCGTGGGAGAGTATCTCTGTGTGCAAACCCCTCCTGGGCGGAGGTGGGTACCCTGAGATGCCCCCGAGCTCCCACCCTGGAAGCCCACGCGAAGGAACTTGGGGTCCCCGGGGCTCCCTCGGGACAAAGTCCGGCTTCTCCGAGCGCTGGGATCTGGGCTGTGGGAGCTCAGAGGAGGCGGATGGAGCCAGAGGTGGTCCCGGCCTCAGGCCGCTCCGAACAACCTCCCCCGGACACATCAATGTCTCCCATTGTTTTGCGCCCACCCAGCAGCCCCTGTGTGTCAGAGCTGGCCCAGAGCAGGGAGAGGAATGCGGCTGGAATTCTCTGTCAAACACTTCTTTGTTGGGAGGAGTAGGTGGGGAAGAGGGAGTCCGCAGGCCCCTTCCTCCTTGTTTTCCTCCACAAACGCATTGAGCTTCGGGCCTCTCCTGCTGGCAAAGTCCGCTTAGTCTCAGCCGTGGAGAAACAGCCAGCCGGTGGGGAGCAGGGCGCTGTGGACCGCCATCGGGCCCTCTCCCTGCCTCCACCACCTGACAGGCCACTCAGAGCCCACCCAGCCCAGCTCCTGGGTGCACAGGGGTCCCCAGCCAGGGGATGGGCAGCTCCGTGCACTCAGCCCTGCAGACCGAGGAGGTGGCTCCAGGGGAGGGAGGGGGCTATCCCGGTGAGAGTCAGATCTGGGGAAAAGGAGGCTTTCTCGGGGGTTGTTTCCATGGGTGATGAGCCAAGAATGACTGGCAATGTTGGTGCCTTCAAGAGGACCAGGGGCTGCTTAGTGCGAGAGGGGATGCTGGGCTGGCACATCTGGAGGCGCCACACGGGAGGGAAGCAGCGTTCGGTGTTGTGGGCTGTGCCCTGGCCCAGCTGAGCCTGAGGCCCCTGCTTCCCTGGACTCCACAGTGACATGAGCAAGAACTAGAATAATCTGTTCTCACCCTGCCCGTGAGTGCTGCCTTTGGTTGGTGGACCGAGGTCAAGGGTTATCACAGAAATAGCCTGGGACCCTGGCCCTTGGGTGAGGCTATGTGAGCCCCACTGTGAGCGTGGGCAGCAGGAAAACTCGCAGAATGGAAGGAAAGGGCCAGGGCACCTCTCCCAAGGTCTCCTGGCACCTGCCCCCGAGCACCTGCCTGTGCTGGAGAGGGTCTGGCCTGCATCAGATGCACCCCTGGGGCTTACATGTTAGCAGGACCGGCTCCCCATCCTCTCTCAAGACCCAGCTGCCGAATGGGAGAGGGAGGGAGCAGGAGAGAGCTGGCTGCCTGCTGGGGCACAGAGGCACCCGCTAGGCCACACCTCTGGACAGAGGCGGTAGCCTCAGAGCCCTGGAAGCCACAGGGAGAGGCAAACCTCCTGTGACTCAAGCTGGGATCCCGCCTCATGCAGCCAGCAGCCCCACCACACCCTGCCCAGCGAGCAAATCAAACCACCCAGCAACGCCCGCTCCCTCCCGGCTGCCCACGGAAAGGGCGTTGGCACAGTCATGCACGAGCCATGGTTTCAGCCCAGCTGACTGTTGTGATACAGAGACGAGAAGTACTAAGTACGCATGTGTGCACGTATGCTTGTGTGTTCCCATGTGGGGGCAGTGTGCATGCATGTGTGCATGTGTGCGCTTCTGTACAGCACATGGAGCCCGATTTGGAGGTAACCCCATCGCAGGGGCCCGGTGGATGTGTACTGACTTGTGTGGCTTGTTTAACACCTCCCATCAGGTGCTCAAAAGCAAAGCCTGGTGCATGCCATGCGTTTTCACACCTAACACGCCCTCCTCACCCCTCTCATTGCCTCTCACCAAAGCATTTAATACACACTCTTGTTTCCAGGGATGCTGGATAAATGCTATAAATATGCCAAAATAACCCCCCGCCCCCTGCCCCTCGCCCCTCCTCCCCAGCAGCCCCCTCATTGGCATGGCTGACTGGGAGGAGCAGAGGCTGGGGAGGGGGCGCCTGGGAGTAGATCACCTGCCCGGGCGTACTCACCGCTGAGCCCGCTCCAGATGTACACCCCCAGGGGCCCCAGGAACGTCTGGTAGGGGTTGCTGACGCTGTTGTAGAAGGTGAACCCGGCGCTCAGCAGCGACGTGGACAAGCTGATGACCAGGGACAGGATCACCACCGAATGCAGCGTCTTCGGGGCCGAATTGCCCAGTTCCGATAAAACTAAGATAACGTTGGTAAGTACGAGGCCAGAAGGCATTCCTGCGAGCTCTGCGGGCAGGAACGGGATTAGAGCTGGTCGGGCGCGTCTCGGGGACCTGCCTGACAGGACGAATGGGACCCGGGGATCCCCACGATTCCCCTCCAGGCCGATCTTTGAACCTCAGGGTGCAGGGCGGAGCCACAGTGCTTCAGGATAGGGATCCACCCCAACTTTAAAGCCCCCAGGAGAGCAGGGCCCCCTTAGTAGGCTGCTGCAGGGGGCCAACCTTCCCTGGTAGCTCCAGCCTCCGGCCCTCGCCACTCGGCGTCATCACCACGGCTTCCACGTGGAGGCGCGTACAGGGCGGGTCACCCCGAAACCCGAGCCACAGCCAGTAAACTCTCTGCACAGCCTCGTTAGGTATCATTGGTTAAACTACAAACGTAGCCTGCCTGTCACCACCTGGTGCCCAGGTGGGGATGGGTGGGGTGCCAGGGGCCGCCTGCCCTCTGGGAGGGGGGCTGCCTGCCCTCTGGGAGGGGGGCTGCCTGCCCTGAAGGGGCCACCTGCCCTCTGGGGGGGCCACCTGCCCTCTGGGGGGGCCACTTGCCCTCTGGGGGGAGCTGCCTGCCCTCTGGGGGGCCGCCCGCCCTCTGGGGGGGAGCTGCCTGCCCTCTGGGGGGCCGCCTGCCTTCTGGGGGGGGGGCGCCTGGCTGGGACTGGGTGGGACCTCAGGCTGAGCCTCTGGCATCTCCGCTCACCCAGGACCTGCAGCCGTGGGGGGACCCCTACTGCTCTCCATGGGCACACACCTGTTTGGAAACTTAGTGGCAGGGATGCCAGACCGTGGGAAACCGGTGGCCGCCGACACCTGTGTTCAGAGGGGCAGGCTGATGCCAAGGGGCCTCGGGCTGCTTCTGGTCCACGCTCGCCCAGCTTCCCTCGGCACCAGAGTGTGCGGGGCCACATGAAGGCTCCCCAGCCAGGAGGAGGCCACTGGACACTGAACTGGAAAACAGGGGCTTCCGGATGGCAATGCCCTGAGTCCCAGGCGCCTGGAGCGTCTGCTCTCTGCCCTATTAAAGCTGCAGGTGGGCGGTCCTTCGCGAGCGGCCAGCGGCCCACTTTTTCCGAGTAAATTAGAAAGCGACCATCAGGCGAGCTCTGTGTCTGACTGTCCGTGAGACCCAAACACTGACTTTTCCAAAGGGAGTCGTCTTGGCGCCTGATGACTCACTCTCCCATGTGTTAACGTGACAACTCGTCTTCATTTAACGGCCACATTTTACAATTACACTTTAGCCCAGCGGTTCTCAACCTGTGGGTCGAGACCCCTTTGGCGGTCGAACGACCCTTTCACAGGGGTCGCCTAAGACCATCCTGCAGATCAGATATTTACATGACGATTCATAACAGTAGCAACATGACAGTGATGAAGTAGCAACGAAAATAATTTTATGGTTGGGTCACAGCATGAGGAACTGTATTTAAAGGGCCAGAAGGTTGAGAACCACTGAATTCCCTGCCTCACCGGTGTGGCAGCTCCCGCTCCCCTCCAGGCCTGACTCGGACACAGACAATGTGAGCTGGGGACCCAGAGAAAGTCCGCGAGATGAAATGATGCCCCGCAGAGCCTGACAGCTGCTCTCTGCCTGCAGAATCAGCACATACATCGCGTTCCCTCTCTTCCTTTTAGGGGCCAAGCTTTGAAATCAGGAGAACCGCCTCCTGATTGGAACTAATTGCCCGGATATGGGCAGCCCCGGGAGAGAGGCCAGCACGCTGCAGCTGGGGGGTGGGCCGTGGGCAGAAATGTGTCGCCTGGACATCCGGGCTCCCCGTGCGCACAGGGACTTAACCCTCAGGACCCACTTGCCATCTGGCCCTTCTACCCCTGGCCCTGTAAGTCCTGGGAAATCGAGGAGGGGCATGGCTTTGTGGGTGGTGGGGACCGCCTCTGCCCCTCCTCCCGCACCTGGTCACCGGGAGCAGGACCTGGCGGCTTCTCAACCCGTGGGCCACCGTGCACCCTGGAGGGGTGGATGCAGCAAGTCCACAGCTCCCAGGGCGTGGGCTGTCGCAGCTGGTGTCCACAGCGTCTTGGAAAGGTACCAGGGTTCTCTTGGGGAGAAGGGTAGGGTGGTGTCTTTTCTGCCCCCTTACGCTCCACTTCCCTGTGTGGTCAGGTGGCAGATGGGTGAGATGGGCTTTTTATAAATTGTGGAGAAAGCCTCACGTGTTCTCCCTGCAATTAGTTGATTTTGCAGCAGATCCTCTCCCCAGATTATTTTTGGCGTGAGCTGACAGCACAAATTTGAGCTCCCTGAGGACAAACGGGGGGTGGGTGGAGAAGAGGCAGAGGGCAGGGGAGCCAGGTTGCCAGGTCGGGGTGAGACTCCCTTGCGTCTGTCACCCACACACCTGTGCCTGCAGTTCCTGGCAGGTTGGACCTCACTCATGCGAGTCTTTCTCTAGAAAGAATAGACGGTGAGCCCTTCTCGGTGCCCACGCTCCTCACTCGCGTCACAGCTGCTTGGGGGGTACTTTGAGCTGAAGTTAAGTATCCAGGCCTCCGGAGGCGGCAGGGCAGGTGCTCGCGTGGGCACGGAGGGCCTGTCCCTGTCCATCTGGGGGCTGGACAGCCCGATGCTTCCAGGTGATGCTGGTGGAGCTCTGGGTCAGTGAGAGCTGCTCCGGCCATTTGCTTACACAGGCCTCGCCCCCACCTTCCCCAGCTGACCTATTGCTGACCGAGTTCCTTCTTTGCTTTGACATCAGCCATGGTCACTTCATTTGGCTCTTTCATGTCAAAATCCACAGCGCACATGGCACAGTGGGCTGCATCCTAGGGACGTGGAACTGAGCTCTGCAATATTCACCCTCCTTGGAGGTGCTCAGTGTGACCTCCCAGCCACGCAGACACGGTGCACGTCTCCGATGGAAAGGCAATCCGTCCCGCAGGCAGGTTTTCCTGTGCGGCCAGCGATGGAAATAAGCCCCGTGCGGTCACACACCGGCAGGAGAGCGGCATGTGTCGCTGTGACGTGGGAGTTCTGCCGTCCAGGGCACACCCACAGGTGCAGAGCGGGACACCGCGACATACCGGCCACTTACAGCCCCTCTCCCACCTTCTCCGGAGAACTGAGCACGAGTCTCACGGGGGCTAAAATCACCAGCTGGGAAGACTGCCCCTTCGCTGGGGGGGGCGTGGTTTTCCTCCTCCAGCACCTGGGGGCGTGGTTTTCCTCCTCCAGCACCTGGGGGCGTGGTTTTCCTCCTCCAGCACCTGGGGGCGTGGTTTTCCTCCTCCAGCACCTGGGGGCGTGGCCTATCTCCTCCAGCACCTGGGGGCGTGGCTTATCTCCTCCAGCACCTGGGGGCGTGGCTGACTTCCTCCAGCACCTGGGGGCGTGGCTGACTTCCTCCAGCACCCAGGGGCCCACGGTGACTGCAGGAGGTTGGAATGTGGCTCTCCGGGGAATACAGCGGAATAAAGCATCACAGGAGAGAGCCAGGCAAGGCGAGTTCCATCGTCCCAGCTCCTTAGAGCTCCCACGTTGCAGGGGTGCCCACGTGGTCCTGCCGCCTTCATGGCTGACCTTGACCCCGCTGTCCTGCCACTGGACACCGCAGAGCCTCCATCGCACACAGGGCTGCAGAGCCGGGCTCTGGCCCTGTCCTGTCCCTCCTCCCAGCCGCCCAGCGTGTGAGTGGGCCGGGCTCTCAGGAAGCCATTTGTTGCAGATGGGAGCCACCGGCTCCACACAGACGCCGTGGGAGTGTTAAACGCCACAGGGTGCTATTTCCTATTTTAAACTTTCTCAGCGAGTCTGGAGACTCGGAACCTACACACCCTCTGGTTTTGGAAATGCTGTTCCCGTCCCCGAACGTGTGACGGAGTCTTTGAAAGGCTGGGTTTCTAGCCGCTGCACGCGATTCCTCCTTTTCCCTGAGCAGCGAGGCGGGGGCGGAGGAGGGGCGTGGCCTGCGGAAACCGCGGGGGAGGCGAGGCGAGGCGCCGCGAACACCCAAAGACATTGATAACTTGGAACTGTCACCGTGATGCTCCGGTTTAAGACAAGCATTTCATTAACAAACTCACAAACTGGAGCTGGGAGCGGGCGCGAGTGCCCAGGCCCGAACTCCGGCCGGGATGCGTGTAGAAGGGACTTCCAGCGGTTCTCAACCTGTGGGTCGCGACCCCTTTGGTGGTCGAACGACCCTTTCACAGGGGTCGCCTAAGACCATCCTGCATGTCAGATATTTACATTATGGTTCATAACATAGCAACATGACAGTTATGAAGTAGCAACGAAAATAATTTTATGGTTGGGTCACCACATGAGGAACTGTATTTAAAGGGCCAGAATGTTGAGAACCACTGGACTAGATGGTAGAAAAGGACGCCCAGTTAATGCATCAGAGGGAGTGAGGCCACAGCACCCGAGGGCCCCTGCAGGGGACTGGCCTGCGCCGCGGTGCAAAGCAAAACCCACACAAGGCGCTAAGCACGTTACACGTGTTGCTCTCACATTTAGAAAACAGAACGGTGGGCATCCGCACGCCCAGAGTCAAAGCAGGAGCTGGCTTGTCATTCTCAGTGTTTACTTCCCACCCATCGAGAGGGAGCAGGGCGGGCCTAAGAGAGCAGAGAGCAGATGAGGCGTTCTCATAAAATACAGAGTTAATAGAATTAATGGAAATGTAATATCAGGGCCAACAACAGTGGGTATTTTGGAGGTAAAAATGCAAGCTCGAAGTGGTTCAAGAAATGAACTTGAGGTACAGGGATAAGGAATGCGCCCCGTTTCGTTTTCCACTTCCTCTTTTGCTTGGACAGCCGCTCATGAAGCTCTGGATAGAGGCTGTGGCTCCAGCTGACAACCCTCAGCCAACGCGGTTAAAAATTATGCCCCTGCTGGCTGATGGGGGCCGTCTTGCCGCGACACAGCTTTCCTTAATTATTTACTTGTCAATAAACTCAGGAGCTCGCCTATCCACCGCCTCTGTTGCCATGATTCAGACCGTGGTGCGGATAGGCACAGCCAGAACAGAGGAAGCGGAAATAATGATACAGTGGCCGTGGGGATGAACAGATATGAAAAATATCAAAGTTAAAGGAGAGAGGCGAGGCCAGACCCAGCCACCGTGACAATGTAGACTTTATCCCGAGGACAATAGTGAATCATTCAGGGGTTAGGAAAGGGAGTGATTAGATTAGCCTGTTGGAAAGCACACCATGAAGAACGGATTGGAAGCCAGCAGGACTGGCGGCAGGGAGATATGTTGGAGGAAACCAGGGAAGAGCTGGTGGTGAACCCGGCAGCTCTGAGGATGGCAGGAAGTGGAAAGAGTCAAGAAATGTTAAGGGGGAAGAATTGTTAGAGCTCAGTGGCTTGTCGGCTGTCTGTCTTCCCTTCCCAACCCTGGCCTTCTGAAGAGCAAAACCTCGGCCGTATGTGTCTTTGTATTCCATTAAGTTACCTGTGGGCCAGATGTTCAATAAATGTCGAATAAATAGAAAAAAACACATTAACTATGAACAGATATTAAAATATTAGATGACACGAGTCCTACCCAGGTAATTCAACCGTGCTCCCCCCATTCAAATTCGTTCCTCATTTACCTTCAAAATCCTTGTCTGCGTCCCCAAGTCCATGAGTCAGCTTTTGAGCGCTCTGCCCGCGAAAGAGTCCGTAGGTGATGACAATGCTGCCGTTGGAGAAGTCATCACTGACGGCAATGGTGCTGCTGACCCATTGAGGGGTCCCCAGAACAGCGCAGATGACCACGAACGCCCCGAAGCTTGTGAGGAAGCTCGACAAGAACGTCAATGTTTTCGTGGCGGTAGGCATCGTCCCAGGGAAGCGGGGGTCCTAGGGGAAAAGGCAGCTGTATCTCTGCGGAATGTGCGTGGGCCTTATCATTTGGAGTCCGGAACTGAGAAATGGAGTCGAACACTTAGTTGTAAAATATAAGCACTCACTCTTCATAGGAAGGGTTATACCAATGAGCATTGGACTATGAACGTGGTCATAAAGATCTGCAGGAGCTGAACTTTGGTCTGGAGTGGGAAGTTGCTATGGTTACAGCCAGCCAGCAGGAAGGGGGGGGGGGGCATGATCTTCCCAGGGGTTCCTCATCACACAATTAATCTGTAACTCCTGGTCAGGTGCCATGGGAGGAAGCTCAGCTTCCAGGACAGGACAGGACTGGGATTCCTAAAGAATGAGGGAGTGGGGGATCAGTGCCCCTCAAAGCTTGCTGACTCTAGCAGCCAACCACATAGAGTCTGAACTCACTCACCAATTGCTTGGCTGGTTGCTAACTTTGGAGCAATACTAGTTGTTCCAAAAGGGAACTCCAAGGAGGGTAAGCCTTTGCCGAAGGCACCACGGAGTGGTCTTTTGTAAATTGTCTTTTAACATCTTGAGATGACAATTTTTTTTTTATTTCTTCCTTGCCTGGGAGTAAGTTTTAAAAATAAGTATGTGATAGCATTGTTTCTATTTTTATTAGTTATTTCTACTTCTTGTCGATTTTGATTAAATATTTACTCCTTGAATTTTATTGTGTGGTTTTTTTTTTGGGGGGGGGCAATCAATTGTTAAGCCACTTTTATAAATGTTTGCAACATTTTATATCACTCAATACTATTCAATTTTTTGGATTCACTATCATTCACTTAACAATGTTCTGTTTTGGACATTTTTGCTATTATTAAATTTTTTGCTCACATAAACTTGCTTAGATAGAGATTGTTAATTCTAGCCTTGAGATGAATTCCTAGAAAAGAATGGCTGATTCAGGCAGACAGTTTTGGATTTAACATTTTTTAAAATTTATCTTCGTTGTTGAAAGTATTACAGATGTCCCCTTTTCCCCCATTGACCCCCCTCTACCCTGCTCCCACACACCCCCAGGCCTTCACTGCACTATCCATAGGTGATATATATGCATATCAGTTCTTTGGTTAATCTCTTCCTCCCCCAGCCCCCTTCCCTCTGAAATATGTCAGTCTGTTCCACGCTTCAATGCCTCCGGATCTGTTTTGTTTGTCCGTTTATTTTGTTCATTAGGTTCCATATATGAGTGAGATCCTGGGACACTTGTCTTTCTCTGACTGGCTTATTTCACTCAGCATGATACTCTCCAGGTCCCTCCATGCTGTCTCACAGGGTAAGAGATCCTCCTTTTTTATAGTTGCATAGTATTCCATGGTGTAAATCTACCAGTTTTTTTTTTCTCCATTCATCTACTGATGGTCCAGTTTTGTATTTTTGATACCAAATGTAAATTGGCTCCCAAGACATAATCCCACAAGCAATGTTAAAGAATGTTCTCTTCTTTATAGTGCTGGAAAATTCTGGCTATTATGATTTTAAATTGTGGCCAGTTTTCTAGGTCATATTGCATGATGTTATAATTCTATGATCTGCTTCTCTGTCACTATAGTTTTGCTTTTTCTCAAACTTCATAGCAATGGCATATCTTCTGTGTCTGGCTTATTTTCAGATTCATCTGGATACACCAGATTTGTTTATCCACTCAGCAGCCGATGGATATTTGAGTAGATTCAAGTTATTGACTACCATGAATGGAGTTGTTATGAACATCTGAGGCCAAGTCTTTGTGTGGATTTATGCTTTCTTTTTTTATATATTTTATTGATTTTTTACAGAGAGGAAGGGAGAGGGAAAGAGAGTTAGAAACATCGATGAGAGAGAAACATCGGCCAGCTGCCTCCTGCACACCCCCTCCTGGGGATGTGCCCGCAACCAAGGCACATGCCCTTGACTGGAATCGAACCCAGGAACCTTCAGTCCGCAGGCCGATGCTCTATCCGCTGAGCCAAACCGGTCAGGGCTGGATTTATGCTTTCTTTGCTCCTGGGTAAAGATGTAGGAGAGAAAGTGCTGTGACATCCCTGGCCAGTTTGGCTCAGTGGATAGAGCATCAGCCTGTGGACTGAAGGGTCCTGGGTTCGACTTCAGTCAAGGCCAGATGCCCAGGTTGCAGCCTCAATCCCCAGTAGGGGGTGTGCAGAAGGCAGCCAATCCGTGATTCTCTCTCCTCCTTGATGTTTGTATCTCTCTATCCCTCTCCCTTCCTCTCTGAAATCAATAAAATATTGATTATTATTATTATTATTTTTAAGAAATTGCCAGGATATATGGAAAATGTATTTCAATTCAGAAGAAAATGAGAACGTGTTTTCCAACGTGGCCGTGCCAAGGTGCATCTCCCTGGACAATGGGTGGCGGGTCCAGCTGCTCCGAATCCTCTCCTACACGCGCTGTGGCCAGGCCCTTAAAACTTGGCCTTATGAGTGCTTAGTCGTATCTCCCTAAGGTTTCCGTTTGTATTTCACTACATTAATGATGTTGAACATCTTTTTAAGTGCCTTTTGCCATCCATATACTTTCTTTGGTGAAGTGTCTTTTTAAATCTTTATTTGTGGAATGTAGTCATTTAATCTGGAGACAAATCATATCGATTGTTCTGTACCTTTTTTCTCTCTCATTCGTAGGTTATTTTTCAATCTGCACATTTGGTAGCTCATTGCAAATAATTGTTTCTGTATCGTACTACTGAGTCGTGGGCTCCATGTGTTGACATCTTACCGCCAGGCGCACCAGCTGTCCTTGTGTTGGGTCATTGTTAGCCTCTCTATCCACCATTCTCTCTCTCACTGCTGTGGTCCCTCTATCTCTGCCCTCGCCGATACTTCCCAGTTCTTACACAGCATCATACACCAGAGGAAACGGCCTCTGTGCTGACGGAGTGTTTCCCCTCGTCAAGAGGGACTGCTGTCCTTCTTCCCTCCTGCCCGATGTGCACACAGTTCCCTGGGCATTTCCTGCTTATGCTTCATGTGGGCAGTTCTGTCCAGCCACTGCTCTGCTCTCATACATTGCGAGTGACTCCCCTGACATCTTTCTTACCGTATCTAGGCCCCGTGTGCCTTATCCTCCCCAAACTTCAGTTTGGGGCTGGCTGCCTTGCCATCATTCGTCCAGGCGGGAAGGATGCACAGAGCTTTGACAAGACACCCACATCGAAAACACCCAAGTCCCGCTCACACAGGTCTGGGATCACAGAAGCCCCATTCCCTGGTGCAGGCCCCGAAACAAGGTCGCCTCCTCTTGCTCTTTCCATCTGTCATGCTCCTCATGGTTCTGTCCTGAGCTCATAGAAGGCCCTCCATGCCTGGAACTAATACAGTAACACATCCCTAGATCTTGAGTTGGGGGGAGGATTGCTGGCCATTGAAATTTATTTTTTTATTCATTTTTAGGTTGGGGAGGCAGGTCTGTGATTATGCATCAAGTCCAGAACCCTCTCCATCCAGGTGTGGGACTATTCCAGGGCCTGGCACAGGGGACGGTCTCCCCGCTTGGTTAGGAGTCAAAGGAGGCCAGGCCCCCCTCCGGGAGCGGCCAGCAGGCAGGACGGGCTGGGGCACACACCACGGCTGGGTGTGGGCGGCATCGGGAAGGGACTTCAGAGCCTGTGGTGAGGAGGCCGCTGCAGACAGAACGCAGCTGGGAGCGCGAACCTTCACAGGCAGGGGACCGCACGACCTCCCCGTGGGTGCAGGGGACGCCAGAGCTGGGAGGTGGCTCTGCCTGGGACGTCCTGAGACCCAGTCATTCGGTGCCATCGTTGCAATGTTTCCCTATGTGATTGCCACCTCTGTGTCCTTCATTATGTGTTCTGCATTAACTGGCCGTGACACTGTCTCCAGGAGCTTAGTTGTAATGAAAACCTCAGATGAGGTACCTAGTGTTTGTGTAATACATGATCATAAAGATGCAATTTCTACATGAAATTAAAAATGGCCGTCCTTGTGCTACCCACTGTCCACCGTCCTGTCCCGCCTGCTCCACGGACTTGCCTCTCGGGACTCTTCCCTTGGAAGATGCTGATACGAAGAGAGACAATGTCCCCGTGTCGCCAAAATGCACGGGGACAAGCTGTCTCCCTTTTTCTTTTTACCGCAGTTGGCAGCTGCTGATGTCTCCTGTTTATCATGTGGGCTGTGAAACACCAGAGGGCTGTTTTTAAAAACCACAAGTATTTATCGCATCAGACAGAGAGCTCTAGAGATATGCTAGAGTTTGTTTTACTCTTTTTCATTAACTCACGCGTATGTGTGCTCTTGCTATAAAACGTACGTGGTTTATATATACATTGGGATCATTTTAATAGAAAACTACCTCAAGAAGGACAACATTTTCCAGGAAAGAGGCAATTTTTAATACACAAATCCTGTCTCAACCTCCCATTGCTTTAGGAAACCAAACCTTTAAAAACTAGATTTTATCTTGTTTTAATCACTGATAAAAAAAATAGCTGCCTTTATCCTGTTTACCAAGTTTCTTCAGGATCTCGCGCTGCAATCACATCCTGTTACCCCTTTCCCACCAATTCCTAGAGCACAGCGGAACTAGGCCCGAGGCAAAGTGGGGTGAAGGGCAAGTCATTCCACACGTGACAGCGTTCGGGGTTACAGGCCGCACCTCCTGGTGAGAATGAAAGACACGCAGGCAGTTCATTCCGTCCTCAATCTCTCGAAGGTCTTGCAGCTTCTCAAAGAAGGCGGGGGGGGGGGGGGTATACTTTTGCCGGAGTGTCCACCTCTCTGAGCGACGCGTGGTTTTTAACACTTCAGGCGTAAGAGACGGAGACGGTCAGTTTCGGGTGTCCAGCGGAATGATTTGACACGTGTACATCCTGGGAGGCAATTGCGGCAAGAAGCCCGGTTGCCATGCATCACCACAGTTACAATTCCTTCTCTGTGATGAGAATTTCCACCAGGTGAACTTAGCAAAAGGAATCATCAGTAAATGGA